ATATGCAGGTTCCACACTTTATGAGGCTGAAATCCATGCACATATTGGTTTAACTATAACTTTTATTTTATTTTTTTTTTTGTAAGCAGTTTATTTCTTTTTTTTTTTTTTTTTTTTTAGGCATACAGGAAAATACATAGTTACAGTACAATAAACAACAAAGGTACTAGTGGGGTTAGGGTAGGGTAAGTATGTGTGTGTGTGTGTGTGTGTGTGTGTGTGTGTGTGTGTGTGCGTGCATGTGTAAGTGTTTGAGCTTGTGGGAGATATAAAGCTGAGAAATATATACAAACATGTACACCTACATATACTCTTTCACATATATAGACCAGGATGCAATAACTATGACAATCAAACGGCAACTAACAATAAAGAAACAACGTACAAAAAGAATAAATAAGTAGATATTTGAAAACAATGACAATAACAATACTTATGTTGTGTTTTCCCCTGTGCTAGTGTTGCGTTAAAAAAAATGTGAGGGGCCTAACAACTCCAGGTTGTTCACCCTCATTGAAAGGCCCCTCTCCACTTGCCCTGTGCTATTTGTGTTCGCTATTATTATTACCCTTACTATTATTATTATTATCATTATCAATCATTATCCTTCGTATTGTTATTATTATTATTCTAATTATTCCATATCAATATTAATATTGTTATCATCATCGTTTATTGCCCAACTCACTATTGCCAATATTAGTGCCATTGCCATTGTCATCATTACCGTCACATTTCATACATTTTTCTACTGTAGTATTTTGTTGTCGCAGTTGTAGTAGGATATTTAACCATGATATTGGCTTATAGTGTGTGATTGTTGAGTCCAGTTGCTATGATTGGAGGAAGGAGAGGAATGGACAGGTAGATGTGTGTGTAGAGAGTTGTGAGTAGTTTTCAGTTGATAAATGATCTAACAGGAGGTGTTTCCAAGTGGTGATGTGTATGTTTTTTTTTGATTTCCAGTTGATTAGAATTACTTTCTTGGCGATTGTTAGCGACACCAATAGTTGTTTTGTAAGGTATTGATTGAGGTCTAGTGTGGAAGTGTCTCCAAGTAAACAGAGGGAGGGGGGACATTGGGATGTGGCAGCCGAGTATGGAGGAGAGTGACTCAGTGACTAGTTGCCAGAAAGTGTTGACCGGTGTGCAATGCCAGAGAGCGTGGAGGTAGTCGTCTTTGTGATTTTGAGTGCAATGTGAGCATATTCCTGTGCTGAAACCCATTTTGGAAAGTTTGTGGTCTGTGTAGTGGTATCTATGAAGAACTTTGAACTGTATGAGTTGTAGGTTTGAGTTATTGGTCATGAAGTAAATGTTGTTACAGGTTTGGGTCCAGAAATTGGCATCGGGAGCAAATGCTAAGTCTTGTTGCCATTGTGAGATTGGAAGCGAGTGGGTATTGTCAATTCTTGTAAGTAATTTGTATATTTTGGAGTTTAGGTTTTTGGGTGCAAGCTCCAGAAGATCTGTGATGAATGGGCTTGGGTCCAGGTCTATTGTATGAATATTGATTTTATTTAGGATTATTTATCGTAATTGTGAGTATTCTAGGAAGCATTTGCTCCCGATGCCATATTCCTGAGACGGTTGTGTGAGTGATGACAGTGTGTTGTTAGTGACAATGTGACCTAAGTGCGTTATACCTTTGCTTGCCCAGGATTGGAATATTAATGGTTTATTGTTGCTTGTGAATTCCGGGTTGTGCCAGAGTGGTGTATATTTGGATGGTGTGAGAGGGGTACCTGTTATGTGATGGAGGTTCCACCAGGCTGTCAGAGCTGTAGCTATTGTGGGTGTTTTGAATAGTGGAAGTTTTTTTGTTGATTTATTTAGAAAAGGTAGGTCTGAGATTTTGATATTGTTACATAAAGATTGTTCAATGTCGATCCAAATTAGGTCGGCTGGGTCTGGGTGGGTCCATTTATGGATGAATTGTAGGTGGCTGGCTAGGGAGTAATGATAGAAGTTTGGTGCATTGAGGCCTCCTTGAGATTTTGGTTTCTGGAGAGTGGAGAGTTTTATGCGTGGGGTTTTATTTTGCCAGTAGAATTTGATGAGTATTGAGTCGAGTGATTTGAACCAGGATGAGGTGGGTTGAACTGAAGTCATTGAAAGGTGGTAAACAATTTTGGGAAGAATTGACATTTTTACAAGGGATATTCTGCCTGTGATGGAGATGGGTAGGTTTTTCCAGCGTTCTAGGTCGTTTTCTATTTGTTTTAGAAGGGGGGAGAAGTTGAGGGCGAACAGCTCTGACAGCCTGGGGGAAACTTTAATTCCAAGGTAAGTGATGTGATTGGAGCAGAGTGGGACTGGGGGGTGGGGTGCTGCCACATCCCAACTATCATGCTGTAATGGAAGTATTGATGATTTGCTCCAGTTGATGGAATATTGGGATAGTATGGAGAATGACTGTATTTGGTTTGTTGCATGGTGGAGTGATGATGTTGGATTCTGTAAGAAGAGAAGGATATCATCTGCATATAGACTGATTTTATGTTCATGGTTTTGTGTTTGAATTCCTTTTATTTTGTTGTCTTGACGGATGGATGCTGCAAGCGGTTCTATAAAGATTAGAAATAATAGAGGAGAGAGTGGGCATCCCTGGCGAGTGCCGCGGTGCAGTGTGAAGTGCTGTGATGTTAGACCATTAGTGATAACAGTAGAGGTGGGTGAGGTGTAGAGAATCTTAACCCAGTTTATGTAGGACTCCCCGAAGCCGAACCTCTCCAGTGTGGCAAACAGGAAGGTCCAGTCGACCCTGTCAAAAGCCTTCTCTGCATCGAGGGATGTGACAATAGTTTTTTGTTGATGTAATGATGACCAGTGTATTAAATTGAGTAATCTTCGTGTATTCGTGAATGAGTGTCTTCCTTTTATGAAACCTGTTTGATCTGGGTGAATTATTGAATGTATTACTGAATCCAGTCGATGGGATAATGTTTTGGCTAGGATTTTTGTGTCAACATTGATTAGGGATATGGGCCTGTAGCTGGAGGGTAGTTTTGGATCTTTATTGGGCTTGAGGATTAAGGATATTGTAGCTGCATTCATATGAGTTGGGAGTCTGGAGTTTTGTTTCGAATCTTCTAACATGCGCATGAATAGTGGAGAAAGTATGGGCCAGAAGTGTTTGTAGAACTCAGCAGGGAAGCCATCTGGGCCAGGCGATTTGTTATTAGGCATACTTTTGAGAGCAGAGAAGATTTCTGCATCTGTGATTGGTGATTCTAGCTTTGATATTTGATTTGGGAGGAGGGTGGGGAGATCAACGTTGTTAAGGAAGGAATGAATGGATTCCATGCTTGGATCAGATTCAGAGGAATATAGTTTTGTGTAGAAGCGCTGGAATGTGTCATTTATTTCTTTATGTGAAGTTGTTGGCTTCCCTGCTGAGTTCATTATAACCGGGATTGAACTTTTTTCCTTATTCAATTAGATCTGGTTTGCGAGGTATTTACCTGATTTATTGCAATGAAGAAAGTGTTCTTGTCTTAGCCTGTGAGTGAGGAATTGCATTCTTTTGTTTGTTATATGATTTAGTTCATGTTTTAGATTTAATAATTCTTTTTCTGAATTGGGAGTTGGGGTAGTCATATTTTTTTGTTCCAGTGTTTTTATTTGTTGTTCTAGATTCTGTTCAAGTTCTTTTTCTTTTCTGGATTTGTGGACCGAGAAGGCAATGATTCGACCTGTCAAGACCGCCTTCCCTGTCTGCCACAAGAGAGAGGGTGATATCTTCGGGGAGTCATTGAATTCCATAAAGGATGTCCACACTCTCTCCGGAGAAACTTGTCAAAGTCTGGGTCTGAGAGAAGAGATGTGTTAAACCTCCATCTGGAGGGTGGTTTGGGTTGGTCAGAGTAGTTCCAGGTGATTGATACTGGGGCGTGATCGCTGATTATTATGGGGTGGATCTGCTGTTCTGTGATTTGTGGTATGATGGAGTTACTACTGAGTATTAGATCAATCCGAGAGTATGAATGATGAACAGGTGAGTAAAATGTATATTGCTCAGTTGTTGGGTGGTTAAGTCGCCAACAATCGCCAAGACCAAAATCTTTGATGCGTTGTTTTAGCGTTTCAGTGGATTGAGAGACACGTGGATTGTTGTTGTTGGACCGGTCTATTGAGGGGTCGAGTACTGTATTGAAGTCTCCGGCAAGAATGATTGGGCAGTTAGAGAGATTTGTGAGGTGGGAAAAGATATTTTGGAAGAAAGTGGGATCATCGGTGTTAGGTCCATACAGATTACCGATTGTAACAGGGTGGTTGTTTATGCAAATATTAATAATTATGTAGCGTCCCTCAGGGTCTGAGACAGTTGAATTATGTACAAAATTAGTATTTCTATTTATTAGAATACAAACACCTCTCTATAGTGGGATGAGAATAACTGGTTGTATTGTTGTGATTTGATATTGTTGAATGTTGAATTTGTCAGGTGGGTTTCTTGCAAGAGGCAGATGTCAGCATTGAGTTTGGATAGGTGGTCTAGTACTTTGAGCTTTTTCTTCTGATTACCAAGTCCGCGAATATTCCATGAGACTATTTTAACAGTTATCATATTAGTTGCAGATTGTATTTATCATAGAGATCATGTATGTTTGGTTGTGCGTGTGAGGGTGTAGATGCGTGTGTGAGTGTGGATGCGCGAGTGAGGGGGGAACAACAAGCTTGTTGGGGAGTTGGGTGTGAGGGGGAGGGACAAATATGAGGTGAGAAGTGGGGAGTCCGAAGTGCATCTAAAACAAATCCAAGATTGAGGGAGAGAGAGGCCTTCCCCACGCCGGAGATAAAAGAAAGAAACAACAACAACAAAATAATACAAACAGTGATTCAATATATTATTGTTACTAATAGCAATAATACTGAAAGAAAAAATAAATAAATATTGATGCAAATCGAGTTTGTTCAGCTTTACCTATGCATAAGAGTGAAGCGGTTGTGTCGCTCAGATGACGTCATCGTTGTGTGCCAATGTTTACTACCGAAGTTTACTCACGTGTGGCTGCCTCGTCGCCACCAGAGAGCCAGTATGTGACTTTAGAGTTGCGGTAAAGTCTTCCATCAATGTAGAGTTTATCTATGGACAGCCTTGCTCGCTTTCCCGCGGTCCTCGCTTCGGCTAGGGCTGGATGGAGAAGTTTGCGTCGCTTCATGATCTCTGGAGGGAATTGGTCGCTCAGGGCGAGCTTGGTCCCCTTGAGCTCCTTGCCTCTCCGCATGATGACAGCCTTGTGCCTGGGGTCCAGGAGTTTGGCCACGATAGGACGACATCGGGGTGCTCCTTCACGTGGCTGGCCCAGCCGGTGAGCCCGTGCCAGATCGATCTGCTGGACCAGGTTGTCATCCATCTTGAGGTTAGTTTTGAGGAAAGTCTTGACTAGGTGTTCGGTTGACTGATAAGATTCGTTTTGTTGTTCGGGTAAACCGTGTATAATGAAGTTGTCCCGCATGCTTCGACATTGTAGGTGGAGAATATGATTTTGTGCGTTTACAGAGTCTTGTTGTAGATGCGCTGTCAGAGTTTTGAGCTGATTAACTTCATTACGTAGGGATGCATTGTCTTCTTTGAGGACTTCCACGAGGGAAATGTGGAAGTCCAGTGATGTCTTCAGATCCGAGACATCTTCTGTTAGTTTTTGTAGTGTGTCCAGTTTTTCCAATTGCTTTTGCATTGATTCCATTGTCTCTCTCATATGGCGTATTTCTGTTGAAAGGGATATGTCCATGTCACAGTCGCTAGAGCCTAGCTCCTGTCTTCCGCGTTTACCGTCTGGTTGTGTCATTTCGTAGATTTTTAACTATAACTTTTAACCAATATAGCCCAAATCTTTCGCCGGGCAGTCGTCACAAGAGATGTGTTCGACTATCATCCATCGATAGACCTCAAAAGCAGACCTCATCAATACTACCCTTTGAACCAATTTGACACACCTTATCAACATGAGTGATAAGGAAATGGCTTAATTAAACCTTTTGGCCGCCGGGACAAAGAGAAGTGTGGAAGTTATAAGCCGCTCCAAGAGGACAAAAGACGTTACGCCAGCAGAAATGTAAAGTGTCCCGGGTTAGATATGAGGTGACACCCCCCTCCCCTTCCACAGGTAATTATATCAGGATGCATTATTTCAAGGTCCTGGGACTTTAAAATGTGATAAAGTGTAGTCTCTGAGTGTGTGTGTGTGTGTGTAGACTGTGTGTGTGTGTGTGTGTGTGTGTGTGTGTCCTTTCTCAGGTCATTTTGCTGGCTCCTTCTGCAGACACTCCTACCTCCTCTAAGCTTCTGCTCTCAAAGTTAAGATGGTAAAGTGTGTGAGGGTCAGTGATCACATGGTTGAAGGTTTTACCCCTAAATTCTTAAAACATATTATTTTATGTTATTATTCATTTGCTATATATTAATCCTGAGCCAAGAGAGACCATGACCGGAACCCAGAAAATCACAAGATTAAGAGATACTTTATTAGTCCCACAGTGGGTTCAAGATGAATTAGCAATAACTCTATACGACATAAAAATAAAAGGAGCTGCAATCTGGAATCTTCTTCGGTGGTGGGGTAAACTTTATCCTGTGCATTTGACCCATCCTCACGCCAGTGGTCGCCGTAGTAACAGCGCCCGGACTGCATCTCCAGATGTTGATGCTCGGCTTGGTGAGGACTACCGCAGCTGGAGAATTTTACCTCTTGTGCATGTTTTAGTGGTAGGAGAAACCGGAGCACCTGGAGGAAACCCATGCAGACACGAGGAGAACATGCAAACTCCAATCAGAAAGACCCTGTTCTTTAGTTTAGCTTAGTCTGCAGCTAGGTCCATTCAGATGTCATTATTGTGATATCTAAGGTTTGGTTTTCGAATAAAATTATATCTCTATCTCTAGCATGAAAAATCAAGTATAAAATCTCTGACTTTAGCATAATGAGTGCGAAAACTCTGACTTTAGCAAAATAAAAAAGTATAAAATCTCAGTCATTGGTATGAAAAGAAGCAAGTATAAAGTACTGTATGTGCTAGTGCAGGGAATATGCAGTGTATATACGTCCGTACATGTCTGATAAAATCAAGTCTGAGTTGGCAGGTGTGAAACCGGCTTCTGTTGGTGAATGGCGACTGTGTCCTTGGAAAAGACACGTACCCTGCATCACCTCAAGTGTCTGTGCAAGTTTATATGTGTAGCACAGTTCATACACAAGTGGACTCAAAGTGCTGAGAAAAACAAGATAGAAACGATACAAGGCATTAAAATCATGACCAATCACAGAACATTAACAGTAGTGAAAATACAATCATTCAGTTGGAAACACAGCGAAACAGAACTGTCTTTAACCTGAATTTATACATACAATAGTCAGTGAAGAAGCCCGTCTCACGTTTTCATCAAGACTGTTCCAGATTTTAGCTGCACACATCTGAAGTGTAGCCTCGCCATGTTTACTTCTGACTGTGAGCACCGGCAGGAGGCCAGTCCCTGTACTCCTCAGAGAAACAGCAGGAGGCTAGTCCCTGTACTCCTCAGAGAAACAGCAGGAGGCCAGTCCCTGTGCTCCTCAGAGAAACAGCAGGAGGCTAGTCCCTGTACTCCTCAGAGAAACAGCAGGAGGCCAGTCCCTGTGCTCCTCAGAGAAACAGCAGGAGGCTAGTCCCTGTGCTCCTCAGAGAAACAGCAGGAGGCCAGTCCCTGTGCTCCTCAGAGAAACAGCAGGAGGCCAGTCCCTGTGCTCCTCAGATTCCCAGCAGGAGGCCAGTCCCTGTGCTCCTCAGAGAAACAGCAGGAGGCCAGTCCCTGTGCTCCTCAGAGTCCCAGCAGGAGGCCAGTCCCTGTGCTCCTCAGAGAAACAGCAGGAGGCCAGTCCCTGTGCTCCTCAGAGTCCCAGCAGGAGGCCAGTCCCTGTGCTCCTCAGAGAAACAGCAGATGTAAGAATTGTTTATATTATGCACAAAAACATATACAGTATGTACATTGCAATTGGATTTCATAATAATAATAATAATAACAAAAAATCTACGGAAATATTTTTGAATATACTTGCAAGTGGCTCTATTGGGTTCATGCATCGACTTCTATCAGACCCACCAATTTGGTCTTGAAATGTGTGTTTTCAAATGCTGATTTGAGACTGATGATACCGTAGTATAGCATTTAATATTTCTTTGAAAATCAACATTCGGACAAAATAACTGACAATCATATCCATCTGTTCACCATAGTTAGCTACATTGAGCAGCTATTGCCTATGGTTATAATCGTCCTTCTGATTGCGTGTGAGTCACATGGAGGCGGTGAGCGCAGCCTACTTAAGCGCCGGTGCTTGTACCTATTCAATAAAACTCAGAATTGATTGATATAATCTTTTTTTTTTTTCTTTGTACAAGTGGATATTCTTCACACCGTCTTTCTGTCTGGAACGATGTGAACTGTGGGGCTGGATCTTCCTGCACACATGTGGGAAGTGGAACAGATTTCTTAACACGGAGTCCGCATCCGCAATAACTGTTGTGGTGGTGCAGGGGGCGGCGCTGCAGGATGTGGAATCTTTATTGATCCCCATAGGGCATTTTATCCTCTGCATTTGAGCCATCCTGAGGCCAGTGGTAGCCGTAGTACAGCGCCCTGGACTCTATCTCCTGATGTTGATGCTCAGCTTGGTCAGGGCTACAGCAGCTCCAGTTTCATGCACAATAGGTAAAATCTATTGTGCATGAAACTGGAGCACCTGGAGGAAACCCATGCAGACACAAGGAGAACATGCAAACTCCACTAAGAAAGACCCTGTTCTTTAGTTTAGTTTAGTCTGTTTAGTTGGCCCCTCGACAATTGTGGTGAACTAAAGTGGCCCTCTTACTAAAATGTTTGGACACTCCTGTATCAGAATAATCACTGACTCTTCTGGCGCCTGGAAAAGCCATGTTCCAGCTTCTTCCCTCTGGCAGAAGATATCGTTCAATGAGATGCAGGAGATCCCAATATTCTAACAGCTTCTTTCCACACTGCAAACGTCAATATCGTTACGGATGTGAACATATTTTTTTTAATGTTACTTGGTCTGACACATCCGCTTATTCGTAAACTTTTAATTGAAATTGAAAAATAAAGGTTTATACCAGAAGTTGCTTGACGACAATAATAATTCCTTCCTTCAAGCTTAAATGCACAGTAGGTGGTCGGCCGCTGCGATCGGTAAAACGCGTGGGAGCTTTATGTAATGGCAAACAAATATGTTATGCAAAGCTCTTCAGATGAAGTTAGCGCCGACACAAAGGCGTACGGTGGAGAGACCTTGATCGCAGCCAAGAAAGGGTTAAAAATACCTGACGTTTACAGCGGTCAGCTCTTGTAAAGCCACCCACATCCAGTAACCGTGAGCCACTTAGAGAGCCACAAGCAATCATTGAGATCATCCTTATTATCATCATCATCTCAGACCTTATCGAGGCGGACTTTTAATGGTTTGGTTGCTTTTTTTAGGTCGTGATTGTAGGAACTTTTCTAACACGGCCTTGTATTTACTCCCAAGGGATCATGGCCAAATATGAATTTTAAGAGTGAGGCTAATAGGCAATGCAAAGCTCTGCCCACATAAAGTGCAGTGAGTTTTACAGTAAGTCGCTGATAGGAAACTGGCAGATGGTATTGATCGCCTTTTTGTCAGTTAAGCAGAATAACATAATATTATTGCGTATTCAACAAATTCAAAAAATGCAACCAATCCATGTCTTATGCTGTAAACTAGACAGGACAAAAGGTGTGTGTTGCTCAGAACTTAATACAACACGTGTCTCAACATTCTGGAGAGGTACATAGAAGAAAGAGTGTGATGCTAAAGTGTGTGTGTGTGTGTGTGTGTGTGTGTATTGAGTGATCGACAGGGGTTGGAGCCCAATAACCATTTGCTTCGTCCAACCCCTTTTCAAACTGCTTTTTTCAACTCAAAAGTCTATATCTTGTTTGTTTTGTGTTGCTGTACTTGCATGAACACTTGGGACTTGACTTGAGACTTGTTGACCTTTGACTTGGACTCGACTCGGCACTTGACTTGAACAGCTAAATATGCAATGTTTATATCAATACATATCAGGTACATAACCTAAACCATAACCTTTTTCCCATTTGTCCATTGAGAGTGAGGAACTATGGATTATACCCTTCTTTTTGTTTTGTAGTTTTAAATTTAGGTAATTCAGCTTTAATGTCTTGTTATATTACGATTAAGAAAGATACTTTATTCCTCCCACAGTGGGGAAATTTCAGTGTTGCATCACGGGTTACAGAACGGTAGCAATGAGGAGCGCACAAAACAAGATAAATGAACAATAACTCTACACTAAATGAAACAAAATAAAATCTATAATATCTAAAAGCTATAATAAAGAAGCAAGTATAACATCTCTAGCTTTAGCAGAATAAAAAAGCAAATCTAAAATATCTCCAACTTTGGCATTATGAAGAGGCAAGAATGAAGTATAAATCTCTAAGTTTAGCATCATAATAAGTAAGTGTAAAGTGTCTATCTTGTGATACAGTCAGTTAGTTTTAAAGAAGGAAGGAGGAAGGAGGGAATCATAAGCCAGCTCCCGCCTTCCGTATTAGTATTGACTTTGGGATCATGAACCTGCTCAGGGAGGAACTCAATGGCATTTACGTCGGGGGAATGTATTCAGGGATGTCCCCATTAGCGCCGAAGATGATTATCGCTCATTTGAACATCCAGAAATCTCCTCGGCGTCGCCCGGGTTCCCGCTGGGTCAGAGCACGCACTTGAGTCGGGTTGCGAAGGGTTAGAGCTGTGTCGCTTCCACTGGAGGGTGAAATGCTAGAGAGAGATGCTCCCCCCCCCCCCTCACGGCTTCTCCTTCTCCCTCGCACTGGCTTGTAATCCCTGCTCACCATCGCAACCTCGCGTCCCTGAGCCCCTGCGCTCTGACAGGGCCCACGGAGAACACGCATTAACCTTTCAGAAAGAGGCGTGCTTTTTATATTTCTGTTTCCCAGATGAAGGGAAAATAGGGCATCTGCTGCTATTGATTTTTGCCTCCTGCTCCGAGCCACTAGCCAAGTGTGGCGTGTATATCCTGGCAGCCAAACTACACACAAGTGTCACAGTAACGAAAGACTACACGGTTTTACTGCGAGGGTTGGTTTTATGGTGAGATTGAATGAGTGTACGCACAAGGCTGGATCAATATTATCTATTTTTGTATAAAGATTGTAAAAAAATATAAAAAATAAAACGAAGAAGATGTCATTTGTGCTGGATTTGGTTATAAAAATAGATACAATACATACATGCTGGTTAAAACTATTATGTTTTGGTATTGTTGTTGTTTGTTGGTATAAATGATTCATATTAAATTCGTTTTTGATTAGCCCTGAATCACAACAGTTATTTCAGAGGATTTTACAAAGCTGTCGATTTGCTAACACAGATCAGAGAATCAAACAGTTCAAACTCATAAAAAAAAACAATCATAAAAAAACACATAGAGCCGTTGGTCCATAAGGGGCAGGTGACCAATGTCCATTAATATTGAGAAAGGCAACAGTGGCTCAGTTGGTAGAGCATTGGAAGGTTGTGGGGTCGAGCCCACCACAAGACCTTCTCTTCGACTCCCACTGATGTCTGCTGTCGTTGTGTCCTTGGGCAAGACACTTAACCCACTTTGCCTATAAGGAGTGTTGCATAATTAAAATGTTGTATACTAATGATTTTGAAAATAGGCCCTCTGAAGAAGGTGCACGGGGAAAAGCCCCACGGACAAAGGAATATGCACTCAGGAATCATAGAGATGACCAGCTTACAAAACCGGACAATTATTGACTCCAAGAATAAACAAATGCTCTCTCCCACTCTGGACGAGGGCAAAAGTCCAACACAATCAGGCGCCCAGTGGTGGGGGGCATTGTTTGCTCAGGTGGAGAGGGAAGACCAAGACCGGGTCCAGACCAGGGGCCAGACCAGTCCCAGACTGTGACGTCATCGGACCCTTTGATAGAAACTGCTGGGAGGAGATTGGCAGTCAGTCAGCCGAGGGCCAGGAGGGAGGGACATATATAGTTTTAGGAGCACTTTTTTGTTGAATATTCTGTATCTGATTGTAAAGATAATTAAATGCAGATGTTAAACGTGAAGATCTCTTGTCTCGCTCTTGCATCGACTTTGGATACGTCAGTCAAAGGGAATTATTGACTTCATTAGCGCGGAAGTGATGTTCGCTGCTTGCCTTGATGTGTGTGTGTACAGTGTATGTGTATGCATCAAACTGAAATTTCCCCATTGTGGGACGAATACAGGACCTTCTTCTTCTTAAATGTCGTTGAATGTCATCACCTCTGGCCTTAGAAGTTGTAAGCATGTGTCTGTAAATGTCTATATATAAGTACTTAAAGCTGATGTACCCAACACCAATACATGTTTATCCCATGGATCCATAATAATAGCTGGATAGTGTATTGCTAGCTTACAGCTGTCCCACCCATGGCCACAGGGGGCGCTGTGGTACTGCAGACTAAATTCACGTGGGCTACCCAGAAAAAAATCCCATAGAAGTCAATGTAAACTAAAACAGCTCGACCTCAGCTGGCAGAGAACCTGACAGAGAGCCTGACAGAGAGCCTGACAGAGAGCCTGACAGAGAGCCTGACAGAGAGCCTGACAGAGAGCCTGACAGAGAGCCTGACAGAGTGCCTGACAGAGAGCCTGACAGAGAGCCTGACAGAGAGCCTGACAGAGAGCCTGACAGAGAACCTGACAGAGAGCCTGACAGAGAACCTGACAGAGAACCTAGCAGAGAACCTACAGCTTTCAAAAATATCGGATTTTGTGGGGATTTTAGTGTCCCATGTCGTCCTGAACTTTTTTTCTTCTTAAATCCTTCGGTTTTCTTTAAATCCACACTTTACTGCCACAAACTCTGCTCCTTTCCTTCCCGCTCTGACTCCGCTCTGCTGCTGCTCTGATCAGCAGCTCTGATTGGTCAGAGCGCCGCCGAGCCCCTCTGTGCACGTGCACGAGAGCCACATGCGTATTTGGAGCAAAGCATCATGGGAGATAATCCACTGTGCAGAACCGGGAGGACCAGACGATGCCCAAATACAGGCGAGTTCCTCTGATACGTCAGTGACCGTGAAGTCCCATGCGCTACTGAGCACAAGCCATTCATTTGAATAGGGCGCCATCTTGGATCACCGGGGCCCACGGAGAAGTCTCGTAAAAGGGTCTCGTAAAAGTAAAATGTTGTGAACAAATCCAATCAGAATGTGCTGCTTATGTGAGTCATGCATTGCACTGGGAGCTGAGTCAAGGTGTTTCTCTCTTTATTTAAAGTCTGTCATAGAACCAGGAGCTAGTCAGATGATATTTTGGTCAAATGTTATATGGTTTAAAAATAGGTTCACCAGCCATACATAAAACCATTGGTTCCAAAATGCCTGTGCATGATTGTGAAAGCATGTTCATGACATGTTGAATTATTTATTAGTGTGTGTTACAGCTCCAATAGTTACATTTTAAAGTTAGGTACCCTAGCATTAATTGATCAAAACTACAACTTTGATGAAGATGATGAATCCTTTTTAAATGTATGATAATATATTTAGATCTTTATGTAGATATAAAGATCTTCATTGTTTTGCATGAAAGGAAACTTTTGGTCAAATATACACCTGGTTTAGGTGTTGGCGCTTTCCCCCATATACTGGATACTTAAGTTTACAATACAAACAGTACTTTTCTTCTATACTGTAGGGTTCATGCTACAGAGTGACACAGCAGTAACACAGCAGTAATTCCCTGGTTAACGACAGCACTGTCCTCCTCTCCTTGTCATGCACATTAACTTTTATAGTTTAATAGCCAGGCACTGATGCCACACTGAGTTTGCCTTTACGGCTGTTCATAAACCGTCTGATGTTGCACATTACTGCGGACACTTTTAAAGGGTTAAGTAAAACAAAGTCCTCAAAGCCTCATGCTGCGTTGGTGCAGACTGCAGCTGACAGTAAAGTTAGAGGTTATTAGCACATTGTGTTCATGGATTAGATTTCTGTGTCTAATTTGACACAGGCATGTTTTAGGACCTCCTCTTGATGCAATATTGTGCAGCGTAGTTATATATTTTATTAGAAATAACTGGGTCTTGGAAACAACAGTACGGGTCCAAGTAAACACTCCATATAATGAAAGATGACATTGAAGTGACCAGGTGTTCACTGAGTTGTCACTTCTCCACAGATCTGGCAACACAGGCCTGAGCTGCTCATCAATGATGTCTGATCATATAAATGTTAAGCATCTGGACCAAACACGTACTTCAGCTGGACTTGTGCATCATGAACCTACTGTACTGCAGGAGCCATAACATACAGATGACAGAGCCTGAGACAGTCACGTCAGAACAGGGTCTTTCTGAGTGGAGTTTGCATGTTCTCCCCGTGTCTGCGTTGGTTTCCTCCGTGTACTCAGGTTTGTACAATAGGTCTGTGCCTCCTGTACTGACCCCGCTCCCATCTTTGTGTGGAGTGAGAGACAAATGCCAAAAATAACAATTGTAAACCGCTTTGTGATTCTGGTCTGTGAAAGGCGCTATATAGAATATTGAAAAAATGTTGTATTCATGGAATGAAACAGATTTCCATTTTTCAGATATGATGATTCATTATTTATTTTATTTTATTTATTTTATTTTATTTTATTTTATTTCATTTTTTAATTTATTTTATTTTTTATTTATTTTATTTATTTTATTTATTTTATTTATTTTATTTATTTTATTTATTTTATTTATTTTATTTATTTTATTTATTTCATTCATTTTATTTATTTTTATTTATTTTATTTTTATTTATTTTTTATTTATTTTAGTATAGAGTCATTATTAATTCCCCACTGCGGGACCAACAAAGCATCTCTTAATCTGTGTTTTAATCCAGGCTCACTTCTCAACAATTTCTCATTTCTACAAACAGACACATTTAATACCATACCACGGAACATTTTCATATCGATTTCCCCGTGTGGACAGACACAGCGCACCGTAAAAAACCCCCCCAGAGAATTCCAAGTTTTCCTGAGCCAATCACGACAGACGGCTTTGTAGCTGCGTTCCTCCAAAGCAGCACAACACATAACCGTAAGTCGTTCAAATTGAAAATCACGAGCTGCATGTTCCTAATTTAGCTTTTCTGTTTTCATTATTGCCGGCTCTCTGTTTACTCTTTTATGCTCTTCCCTGTGAAGTCTGACATTGCTTGGATGCTCAAAACTCCCGTCTACCTCTAATCTGCAAGTCTAATGACAAAAATATGCAGAAGAGGCCAGATGGTGGATCCCAGGCTGCTATTCCCGGCCCCGGCAAAGACGTCTATCTGTGCCTATTCTTCTGCACCCTCTTTGACAAATACTTTCAAAATATTTACACTGCTCAAGATGTCTCACATGCACTGATTGGCACATTTAAATGCTAAATTATTCCCTAATTTGACATAAAGTTAGAGGTGTATTGTGAGCATGGCAGTAACGAGACGGAATAATTGTACATTTGTCCCCAGAAAACATTTTCAAAAGGATTTTTCTTGTTTTTTTTCTTTCCGACGGTTTTGAATTCACACTGGTCACGTTGTAATGTTGAAAAGCAAATGAATGATTTTCTTAATGTGGGTTCCAGCTCTTATCCAGCGACAGAATGAAAGCTAATGTTTTAATTTGACTTATTTTACTTAATATTATTCTGTCACTGTATTCCATATGTGTTTTAATTTACTTGATAATATGAAATTATGCCAATCCTCTTTTTGGAACATAACCATACATGCTCATTTTAACTCTCCCGGGGATTTTTGAGGCATGATTTCCAAGGTTTTTCAGTGAAAGTTTTGATCATTTTAAAGCTAGGGTCTCAAAAGCATCAGATGGAGCTATGTATTAAAATCCTTCTAACTTGGGCCTGGATTTAAAAGAGTTCTGTCACTTTTGTGTTTATGCATTTTTGGCCTCTGTCAAATCTTTAGATGAACTTTTTCCGGATCCTACACATTACAGAAAAAAATTAAAAATTCCTTCACAATTATTTTGGGTTAAAAAGCATACTGTTTTTTATATATATGGTCCTTTTCAAAATAAAACTGTGGTCAAAAATCCAGGATTGAGGATTAAAATAAGTAAACTTCAAATTGTCTCAAATCAAAAGAATCCTAAATAAGTCAGTTTCAGGCTATTTTAATACAGACTCAAAAATCTGATTTACAGTGAAAGTCATTTACTTTTCAAACTGAGGAGAGAGACATTTTTTGAAGACAAACTTTGGTTAGACCCGCCCATGCTCACCCCTGCAGCTTCCTGATTGGTCCAAATTAATTCAAATCCCTAAGGCCCATAGTCATTCGTTTAACTATTCTCTCCCGGTAAATCTCACTGGTCGGACTTATGCCAAAGGGAGGGACTGTTTTGAATATATTATTGTTGGGAGCTGCTTTCTGTGCCTAATAGTTTAGTGCCCAATAATCAAAAATAAGAATCCTAGTAATAATCAAATGCATTTTAAGTTGCTGCTTCTTCCAGTTCAACTCGTGACTTGCAAAGCTTGGAGTTGCTCACATCCTCACTGACCTCCAACCTCCTCAGCTGCCCCTAGTCTCTGGAACTCTCTCCCACAAGAGCACCTCAGACCCTAAACTTAACCCATCATCCATTGCATTTCTTGTCCTTGAACTGATTGATTCTCTGATCTGTGTTGGCGAATCGACAGCTTTGTAAAGTCCTACGAGATATCTACAGTCGTGATTTAGGGCGATACAAAAATACATTGAGATCAACTGTTTATTTTATCTTAGTGAAGCATCTTTGAGTGTCCATGAATATTGTTGGTGATTCAGCAACCATCCGCAAACTCAATATGGCACACACTGACTGTCTAAGGATTTTATTGAAAAGGCCACGATGGGAAAGTGCAAGTACATTGTTTGTGTTCGCTAGGATTAGGACATTTGAGGCAGACGTTCGATGTCTAATGCATGGTTTTATCTGTCGGCTCACTGAAAGCCAGAATATTATAATCATAAGCCTGACAAATGTCAAATTCAGAAACACGTGGTCCCAGTCAGATCTGTGGAGACACTGGTGCAGCTGTTGTCGCTGATTAATACAATAAGTTACATAATATAAAAAAAACATGAGGTAATAAATACAGTACAGACCAAAAGTTTGGACACACTTTCTCATTCAATGACCGAAAGATTTTAGATTTTGTAAAAACGTTAAATCTTTGTTGCAATCGGTTACCCAAAACAGCTTTATTAATGATAACTAGTTTGGGTTTACAGTGTGAGAAGTTAGGCTTATTTCTGTGATTATTTTCACTGGATTGCGTTGCGTTTTTATCAAAGCCATTATTTTTGCAGCTCTACCTTTCGGGTTCAATTCCTTTTGCCTCCGTGTCAATACAAGTGCGACGTGTTATTGATCCTTGCCCAAGCCTTCATCATTTATCGTCCATCCTAATGTTCACTTGTTTTGATTCTGTCTTTGAGCTCAAAAATCCATTGACATTCCTAAAACCTGCTCAAGCTACTCTCTCCCCTGTAAACCTTTTCGGCTTTGATGTGCACCAAAAAAAAGAGGCAAACAGGAAATGATTATAATACATCTCTGCCAAACTGTCAAGTCCGACTCCCACTGACAAAATGCACGCTGACACCACGAGCCACAGTCGAGAACTCATCTCGCTACCTGTCCTTCAACGCCGCCATCTTGTTTTTCACTCTCTCTATCCATATATTGACGAGGGGAGGACCCGACACCACGCTGCTCTTCCCCCGACTGAAAATAAATTCTGAAAAGTTTTCCTACCCTGGCAAAGCGGTGTGTCAAAAGTCCCCGTTTCACCCAGATGTCTCCCATCACAATCTTAAATACGGGTGCGACATGATCCCTCTAAATTTAGATCAAATCCCATTAAGTTTGCAAGCATCACTGACGCGCTGACGGAAGGCGGGACGCTGTCGAACGCAGGTTGTTACGCGCTCTGCAATATTCAGTAGATTATTTTTACCTGCTACACGCTCGTTTTACAGTCGCAACGCTTCAATTTGCCTTCATTTATACAAACATGTCAAATGTTCAAGACGGCACTTTACAGCAACACTTTCATGATAGCTTCCAGGTAAATAAACTGGAGAAGGGAAGAGGTTTAGTGAAACGCAAATGCATGTTTTTGAATGGTATGTTGACGGGAAAGAAGGTTTTTGTTAAATAAATCTTAAAAAAGGAAATATCAACATGTTTTCCTAGATTATAGGGGAAAGGGATTAGATTCACAAACCGGCCATCTTTTCTACCGGCCGATATTATGCATGCTTCTTAGAATACAATACAAAACAATGTATTCTTGTATAGCCCTAAGTCACAGCAGCATCATCTCAGAGACTTAACAAAACCATTGAAATCACCAACACAGATCAGAGAATCAACAGTTAAAACACATAAAGAACATAGAACACATGTTGATAAATGTCATACATGTAGAATGTTAAAGTGTCCTGGATCATCACAGTCCTTCTAGTTGGACACTAACTGTCCAACAGACCCTCCTGCATCAGAGGAACAACTCATAAGAAAACCCAGTGGGAAAAAGTGAGAAACCTCAGGGAGACCCATGGTTTGAGAAAGGGATCCGCTCCCACGGACGGACGGGCTGTAGATCCAGGACTCAGACTGTAGAACGAGGACTGAGGCTGTAGATCCAGGACTCAGACTGTAGAACGAGGACTGAGGCTGTAGATCCAGGACCTAAGCTACAGAACGTGGACCAGTGGCCGCTGAACGTGGACAGGTCCGGTGCAGGACTGAAGCACTCCCAGGCGGGTCGGGCGGGGCAGTCCGCAGGTGTAGATGGAGGAGGCCAGGCTCAGAGATCCCGTCATCGTACCATGAAACAGACAATGGGACAACGGGTGAATAGCAATGAACAAACTACAGTCAAAGTCCTAATAATGATAAACAGATAAAGTAGGAAGGAGGAGAGGATAGTGCTCAAGTTAACATACTCACCACTTTTAGTCACCCAATCAGACCATAGTTGACCTGTACCAACTGAGAAGATGTGAAATGTTTTGTGTTTTTCTCATGTAGTTTGGCCCAGGAATTATAGAGATATTAGCTCTGAACTGAGACAGGAAAAATGTTTTGGCTGTCCTCCACCACAATTTGTAATGTATTGTGATGTCACATTACCACAATATTGGCCACTTGATGTGTTGGCCACCTGGCAGCAACCATTACCTTATTAAGTGTCCCTCATGGTCAAATTTGAGATATATTTTGACTGACAAATAGGACAACACATACATCTGTAGAATGCTATATTCGGCAGTTCAGTTGTATCTTTGTAGAACGGGGAAGTCCAAACTCCGTACGTGGCTCTCTATCGCAAACATTTGTTTTTAGACCCCAGAAAGTATGTTTTTACAGTGGCTTAAAGGGGATCTAAATATACACAAACAAAACCATATACATTAATTATTGAGGTACTTTTACAGTGTCATCCAGCCAACTACAGCTCCACCAATACAGGCATACTATATATCGTTGTAAAGCTCAGAACCTTTGGAATCCAGTCATTAACTTTGCATACACTGATATTTCTGTAACAACATCATATATGGCACTGGGGTAGCAGTGTTTGAATCCATGCGCACACATTATACCCCGTTCTAAAGCCCACAAGAGTCAAATGAACCTAAATCCAATGTTGTCAACCCCTGGAAACCTCTGTTGCACTAAAGCAGGGGTGTCCAAACATTTTAGTTAGAGGGCCACTTTAGTTCACCAGACCAGTCCAGGGGCCGACATCACAGACTTGACTGCCATCGGGCTGTTCTGAGCTTTATGATGATCTATAACAGAGCTGAAGTTGGATGGATGACACAGTGAACTTGTGTTTAAGATCTCAAAGACTACTTTGGGTTAGCATGGCAGAGGGCCACATAAAATGACACTGAGGGCCTTAATTTGCCCCCCGGGCCTGAGTTTGGACAGGCCTGCACTAAAGGATACCCGTGATGTAGAGTTCACTGCATCTGCATACTTCCACTTTTATTTGGTTCCAAATGAATAAAAAGCTGAACCTATAATTGAAATAACTTGGGAAATCAAAGGAAAAAATAAAAGACAATTATTTCAGAGTCCACTAATTGTTACTTGGTTCCCAACACCCAACAGAATACTTGTGAAAAGCGGGCAATATTTAACACACATTATGTCCAATTAGGAAGCAACATATTTTGCAGTTTTAATCCATTACATGAATTGCATTTCTTTGCCAATCTCGGTGCTGAGGCAAACTTTCGCAATTCTTTGTTTGATATTTTCTCATTGAAATTCACATTTGGTATGGTTTTACATGTGTAGTGTGACTGATGTATAGAACCTGCAGGATCTCAGGCTCAATGCTGGAGGTAGTGGTCAGACGCAGGGGACTTAAAAACCCAGTCAACACACACACTGACCCCATTACTGCTTTTATATGTTCAAATAAATAGTAGATTTCTATATTCAAGCTTGTGGGTTTACCATAGATCATAGGAGTGGACTGAGAGAGGCTATTGTCGAAAATGAGACAAGGTGCGGATTGGTCTGGGGTCGTTTCGCAAACAGAAGAAATGTTTTACTGTCGATGGTGAAGACCAGACACAGAGATTTTACAGCATCGATGTCAGAAGTCCAATCAGCACCTGCCACAACGCTGGTAGCTTCGGCCTTCAGATAACCAAAACACGAAGTGGAAAAGCCATAGTTGCTTCAAAGTGTTAAGCCTGGTTCACACGGCAGGATAATTGAGCCGATTTTGGACCCGATTTACCCCTACGACAATCGTAAGAACGCTCCGAATATCGTAACAAAAAATCTGATGGATTTTCCGTGTGTGGTTAAGACTGTGCTCGTCGCTCGGAAGGACTTTGGGACTGCTCCGATCTCAATATCGGGGATATCCAACATGTTGGATTGTTTTGGCCCGATTTCTCTTCGTGTGTGGTGTCGGGGACAGACGAGCGCGTTGCCATGACTGCGGCGTGTAGCCAATCAGAAGACGAGCTGACAAGGCGGCAAGGAAACACCGTAAAAAAAAAAAAAACAGTCAGCGGCATGGCACACCAGAAAGTTCTGGTGCACTATGCCGAACTAGTTGACCTCTGGCAACACCGTGAATGTATGTCTGACGTGTCGTGTAAAGAATATCATCACTGAAATGACAAGGAGAGGAATTGGGCAGAAATGGCTGCTGCACAGGTAGTGTTGGCATAAGCCCTGTTCGGACGGGATTAGAACTAAATGATCAGACTGATGGTTGTGTTTGTACGTTTACTTTGCACTCTGTCCTAATACAGTACAGACGTGGTGAAGTCCGTACAAACTGTATTGTTGAACAGCACAGACAGTACGGGCCAGAGAACTGTAGAGCAGTAAAATCCACATGTGTTTGTCTTTATGGTGTCTGTGGCTGCTGTGGTCAGACCAGAGTCTCTATAGGCTGCGTGAAGCAGAGAAGCCTGCTTGATCTCGAGAGATGCTGTGAGATTTCCGGTGACCTGTGAATGCTCGGGGGGGAAATCGTTTTCGTGTGTGATGTGTGTGTGGTTTGCGTGATTTTGCCGTGTGGCTGCGCACCACACACTGTACGACCAAAGTGGTTAGACCCGTGATTTTATTATCTCCGTGTGAGACCCCACACATCGGCCGACAATTTTAAAATCGTCTGGTGTGAACCAGGCTTTATAAAACATCTGCCAAATAATCTGCAAATTGTTGGTAGCAACGGCCAAGTTTCCAAGCAACAATCACTCACACTACTTCCCAGCTGAATCCAAATTTGGTGACATGTGGATTCACCAAGACAATATAAACACCAGAATCAATGAGAGGGTTATAGAATGGATTAAAGCACAGACAATTACTAAGGTAGAGGAGTTTACTCTTCAATGCAAGTCAATAGGAGCCCGAGTATGAGCAAGACTTCATCCATAAGCGCTTCCCTATTGGCTTCATCAAGCTAGGGGGGGTAAGCAATGTCTATCTATATACAGTCTATAGGATTTACCCATTAAAATACATACTTTGCTCATTGTGGTGTGAACGACTATAAAACCAACCAGCGTAAATGGAAAATATTGACAAAAAAATAAAAAAAGGAACACAATATAATAATATACTAACACTTTGCTTGGAATACACACAAGGGTTCATTTTTTTCCACAAAGGTCAACCCTGGCCCCATTACTGTTTTAATATCCACATCCATAATAGTAGTAGTAGTTTATTATCTCATGCGATACGGAATGAAACAATAAATATGAACGTTATATCCTGGACAGTGCGGTAATCTTTCTCTTCCGCCTCCGTCGAGCATAGACGTGTCTCAGACGCTCCTGCTTCTGACTGCTTGCTATCTCCTGTTTTTGTCTTTTTCCTGGAGTTTTGCCACAGACAACTTTTAGCAAGAATGGAAATGGTAAATTGGTCCCTCAACGCAATTGATTCTATCTTTTCAACACGTAAGCGTGGGTCTGGAGAGCCCGAGTGCCCGGACGGGACTTCACCAGCGGGTTATAGGCTTGACAGCTGGAACAAGTGGCAGCCCCTCTGTCTGTCGACCCTGTCCATTGAAGATTCGGAAGACGTATATATCTTTGGCTTTTTGGTGGTGGGGATCCTCCTGTTTGGGCT